ACAGGCAGAATCGAGCCAAACTACCCCAAGGTATGCGGCCATCAAGGCAATGTCCTGGACATCAAATGGAATCCCTTCATTGACAACATCATCGCCTCATGCTCCGAGGACACTTCGGTGAGCTGAGCAGTGGGTGATCCCCAGGAACCACCCTGAGCACACACCTCCCTGCTTCCCCCACAGAGCCTCTGTCCACACACTACCCTCTTTCTCTTCTCAGCCCTGTCCCTATCCTCTCCCTCCTTCTCCAGCCAGTCCCAGGATAGAGAGGACGTGGGTCGGGGAGGGACGGAGGGAGAGGATCTTTGCTGGGCACACCCGTGCTTCAGTGGCTGAGTGTGGAAGTTTTGTTTTATAGGTGAGAATTAGAACCCAAAAATTAGGTGTGATTCAGCCTCTGCCTATGCTCTATGGTGGAGGGCAGCAGGGAGAGGAGGGGCAGAGGAGAAGGAAGGAAGTGGTGAGGCAAGGGTTGGAGGGCACTTGAGCTTTGCAGGCTCACATGGTAAATGTCTCATAGTTTGTCCTCTGGAGCTGTGGCTTCAAGGACAGTGGTGACAAGGATCCTCCTAAGGGCATAGAATTCCACTCTACATCTTACCCCTGTGGGAAGATAAAATAAATAGAAGGGAGAACGGAGGAGGGGGGTGGAGAGCAAGTGGACATGCAGATGGGAGGGAAGAGGAGGAGCTGGAGCACTACTCAAGTTGCTAAAGTGCTTGCTGCACAAGCACGGGGACCTGAGTTCAAACCCCAGAGATGGAGGTAGAAAGGGGGCTGAAAAATCCAAGGACACTGGCATCACTGCTTTCTACCCACTCCCTCCTCAGGTGAGTCTGCCTCAGAAGGGCAGTGGAACAGAGTAGGATTCAAAGTGTTAGCCAAGCTGGTACGGGGAATCCCTTTGTTCCCAAGTGAAGGTGGCTCTGCTTTTCAGTCGGGCTACTGTGACTACCTAGTGCCCACTGGCATAGTTTGAGGTCAGGCCATGAGCCCAGGGTACTAGAACTGGAAACGACTTCAGATCTGGGTCCCGGTCTTCCCAGGCTGGACTGTGAACTCCAGAGGTAAAAGAGTATGGCCTATTTGGCTCTGCATCCCTGGCCTCTAACACAGCACCGCACACCTAAAAAAAAAAAAAAAAAAAAAAAAAAAAAAAAAAAAAAAAAAAAAAAAATACCTGTTGTGGATTGAATGAACAGTTAGATGCTCCAGTGGAAGGATGTGTGCATATGGATGGATCGTGGGTGTCTGGGTGCATGGACTGACAGAGAGATGGCTGAATGGATGGATATATGGTTGGATGGTAGAGATAAACATAGATGATAGATAGATAGAAATGAATGAATGAGTGAATGTGATGGTAAAAGAGATACTGACAGTAGCATCTTCATGAATTCATCAAGTTGAGGATGAGATCAGCAGGCTCGAAACTTACATGACAGAGATGTGGCGGTTGCTGGATAAGTGAAGAGGACTTGACTGGCTGGAGGGATTCCTGAGGGCAGTGATTGGGAAGGGAGTGCCAAGGGGGCAGCGAATGGAGGTGGTAAAGGAAGTCCTTTGGTTTTGTTATTTTCTTTAGCAGCTTCAGTGACCAGGGGAACAGCTATCAGGGTCCAGGTCACAGGAAGACTGGAGCTGCAGACATGTGGGCAGGAGGTGGTGGAGCCAGGAAAGGTGACAGAGCCTGGGAAATCACTGGCTGCTCACTGGGCTGGCAGAAAGGCAGTTGGAGCTGGTGGGTCTAGAGAAAGACTCAGGGCTCAGCGGGAGGGAAGGCAGGCAAGAATGCTACCCATCCGGGGAGCCTGAAGGACAGTGCTTGCATCTGGCTCTGTCCCTGCTTACTGAAGTGTGCAGTGACTCACCAGCCAGCAGGGAGCACTCTGAGAAGTGGGGCAGGCGCTTCATATGCTGCCCTGGAAGACTGGCACTGCTGAGGGAAGGCGTAGCACACAAAGGGGCAGTGTGAGACCCAGTGGGGAGAGGGAAACAGTCTCGGTATGGAGAGGAGTCAGGCCCCAGCTCTGGGGACCACTGCCTCCCTGGTCATAGCTTCTTTCACCTACATCAAGGCAAGATGGACTTGCCTGGTGCTAGCTCAGCTCCTCTTCCACCCACGGCTGCTACATCCTTCTGGATGCAGCCAGTGCACAAGACATCCATGGTGTGTGTTCAGAGAAACTCAAGGCTCAGCCCTGCTACAGGAGCCAAACGACTAGTACCCACTGATTGGCAAACTGGGCCTGATGGGCTCCTGGGGTCCAAAGACAACTTGACTGCAGAATCTGGTGGCCTTGGGATGAGACTTCAGGGCCACTGCTTAGCTGGGTGCCCAAGGGCTTCATCACTCTGGGCCCTGGCTCTGCTCGTTTCAGAGGCAATAAATAACAGGACCCTTATCAGCATTGGTGAAGGGGTATGAGGGAGCCGGTACCTAACCCTGCGCCTGGCACCTCATAAATGCCTACCATCTCAGTCCTGCTTGGCAAGCAGCCCCAGCAAGGAGGCGGGGCCCACCAGATAGATAGAAGACACAATGTGGATGAGTCAGGACTACACTGAAGTTCCACAAATAGTGCAGGCCCAGATGAGAGAAAGGGACTAATGATGACCTAGATACAGGAAGAGCTGACTTGGGAGGGCTGGACCTGAAAGACTTGGGATTTGTTTGTTAGAGCCAGAGAGCCTGGGCCACCCATCCTCAATAGGCCAATTCAACAAAGTAGTGAACCGCAGAGAAAGGAGACTCATTATTTGGTAAATAATGTATCCAGTAGGCACTCTGGTGGATATGGACCTGTCCATAGCAAATCCATCAATGATGGGCTCCAATCTTTTCTTCAAGGTGGCCAAAAAAGCTTTGGAAACTGCATAAAATCTCTTTCCTTGAGATAATCTTTGTCTCTGGCTTATCTCACCAGGTTTAGGCCTCTTGTTTCTCCCTGAATAAGATTCCTGCGGGAATTCCAATTCACTGGGGGCCATCATCTAAACAGTTTAATAAGAAAATGGAGGGCACAAATTTATTTAGGGTATCTTCATTCCTGCCATTTGATTACATTTTGATCTGAAGAGAAAGGGTTAAAGTGGCCCAAGGAAGAGCCCTGACCCAGGCTTCTAGAGGAAGTGCATAAGGTGCCTTAGAAAAGAAAAGTCCTCTAGCATAGTGGGGAGCTGTGGGTGATGTCACTAGCTGAGTGAGCAGGAGAGAAGGCTGCCAAGGGAGGTTGGGATAGACAAGGCATGAAAGGCAGGGTGAGAAGCTTAACTCAGAAGTGATACCTGAGCTTCCCATCCTTTGGGATCTGGGAGGTGGGGGTGGGGAACCTGAAGGGGTTACAGCCACATTTTTGGAGGCCATGAGATTCCAACCAGCTGGATGGAGGTTGCACACAGCATGCAGAGGGAGGGAGAGAGAGAGAGAGACACACACACACATACACACACACACACACACACACACACACACACAGAGAGAGAGAGAGAGAGAGAGAGAGAGAGAGAGAGAGAGAGCACCCTGAGGTAGAAGGAGGGGTCGGAAAAGGCAAGCTAGGCACTGCAGAGTCTGGGAAGAACCCCTGCCCCTGCCGCTGCCCCAGGCTGCTGATCTAGATAGGAGATCAGATCAGAGCTAAGCTTTTGGCAGCTGCCAGGCCAGCTGCTCCAGAAGCCAGACTAAGCCCACCTTAGCCCTCAGGTTTCTGCCCACACCTGTCCAGTGCTTAGGACCTTAGCCTTGGAGCCTACTGTGCCTAGGATGAAACTCAACCTGCTCCTGGAGAACTGAACCCTGAAGCCAAGGTTACATGGCATGTCTGAGCCCAAGCAGCTCCCCAGACTCCTGCCCTGCTACCTTGCCAAGGCTCTGTTTCTACAGGGGAGGAGACTAAGGCTCAGAACCATGGCAGGCTGACAGTCTGGAGCCATTGCACACTCTCTTCGTGTCCTCTTTGTGTGGCCCATGCTGAGCATTGAGCACTCATGCAAGAGAATCCTCCCCACCTGGGCCTGGAAGCCAGATGAAAGAAGCCTCTGCCAGGCCTTCCTGCCCTAAGTTCTCCTGAACTTCCTCCATCAACCCATTCCAGCCTGAAGGGTCAACTTACTGTGCATCATACATGCAGAACTGTGTCTGGGAGGTCCACAGGTATGACAGACACAGTGGCCCCTAGCAGGAGTGGGAACACCATCCTGAAGTACCCCAGAAAGAAGCCTTTGCTGCAGGTCTGGGCCTTTCCTCTGGAAGCACACGCCCATCCCTCACTGGCTCCATTGTTCCTGGTCCCAAAACATTCCGAGGATGCTAAAGAGAGATAGGGAAACTCCAGCAGCAGCTCCTCCCCTACCCTCACCCCAGGGAAGTCTTTAGCACAGGCAAGATTGCTGTGTCCCTTGGGATCAATTCCCCTCCTCCAAGGCATGAGAGTCTTTTGTAGTCTATCCCCTACATCCCTGCAGGATTCAGGGAGCCTGCCCAAGCTTCTTCCCCAGAGACCTCATCCTGGGGGAGGGAAGGGACCATAACTCTGCCTGGCATCTGGCAGAGAATCCAGTTCTTTCCGCCAGCCTGCTGGGTGATGTCACCTATTGTTGAAGGGCTGTGCTTTTTATAGCTTCTGCTGCAGCTAGGGAGGGCAGCTGGCTGGCAGGCAGGGAAGGGCAGTATAGCTTTTTTTCCAAGGCTCAAGCTCACAGTCCTTCACGGGGTACCACCCTACTGAGAGGGAGATGATAGAACATGGGGGGCGTGGGGGAGAGAGAGAGAGAGAGAGAGAGAGAGAGAGAGAGAGAGAGAGAGAGAGAGAGAGAGAAGAAGATTGAGAGAGAGAGAGAAAGAGAGAGGAGTTCAAGGGAGAGGGAGAAGATTCCCAAGAGAGAAGTCCCTCTCCCTGGTGGGCCAAGCTCAGCATGTTTCTTTCACCTTCTATTCAAACTCCACCACCATATCTGCTTTCTTCAACCCAAAGTTTATTCACCTCCTGAGGAGCTCAGTGGTAGAGTATGTGCCTAGGAGACTCAAGGCCCCATCCAAGGGAGAAAGGAGGAAAGGAGGGAGGGGGGAGGGAGGAAGGAAGGAAGGAAGGAAGGAAGGAAGGAAGGAAGGAAAATAC